CCTTCCTTCCTTCCTTCCTTCCTTCCTTCCTTCCTTCCTTCCTTCCTTCCTTCCTTCCTCCCTTCCCTTCCCTTCCCTTCCCTTCCCTTCCCTTCTCCTTTCCTTCTATGGGGTGCAGTAGTTAGAATGCATCGGGCAAACTCTGCCCGCTGCCAACAATTCAATCCTGACCGGCTCAAGGTTGACTCAGCCTTCCAACCTTCCGAGGTGGGTAAAATGGGGACCTAGATTATTGGGGTGACTCTGTAAACCGCTTAGAGAGGGCTGCAAAGTACTGTGAAGCAGTTTATAAGTCTAAGTGCTATTGCTATTTTAAGTCCATGCCCACAGCACCCTCAGCCAAGACCTAACCTGACTGGAGGAGGAATTCTGGGAGTTGAAGTCCACAAGTCTTCAAGCTGTCAAGTTGGAAGACCCCAGATATAAATAAACAATCCTGTTTCCTAACCTTGAAGGGCTGACAGAAATCAAATTCCGCTTACCAATGTTATAGATCTCTGAACTGCCAAACCGCACTCCGCTCGGATTCAGCGTGCCGTCACTGGAAAAACAGAGATGAGCAGAAAAGAAATCATTAAAGTATCTCAAAATGGCAATGCTGGATACCATCCTTCTTGCTTTGCCAACATGCTCATCGGGTTAAATGTGCCCCCACCCCAAGCCCCCAATCCTTAGGGAAGGATTTCATCGAAATGTCTTTGGAATATCAGTAGCTCGGGTTCGTAGTTATATTCTCGGTTTTGAGCTCCGAGCTTCAGCAATATGGTTGCAAACGTGTCGCCCCGTACGAGATGTCATCTGTGCGGCTTGAGTTGTGCTCATCTGTCAGAGCACAGTCCTTTAAATCCCTGTGGTGACCCAAAGAGGCGTGGCACAAAGGCAACACAGTCAGATAATCAGTAGGAGTCATTTTATTAGCTCCAATTTTACTCCCAATGTCCTGATTACCTTCTGGCTGGAGAAAAACTCTCCTAGGATCAGCCTTTGGCTGCAGAGAATCAAGTCCAAAACATGGTCAACAAAAACTGTAACTATAAGTCCAATCAAGGCAAAATGAGGTAATCAGGCTGGCAGGGCAGGAGCAAGAATTCTAGACATGAAGGCACGGCAATAACTCAACATGCTTGGGAAGACGCCAGGAACACAGATAAGCAAGGTCAACACAAGATAAACTCATGTTTGTTCCCAGCAGCTGCCGCACTCAGCATTCAGTTTTGATAAACTTTCATTCCCAGCTGGCTAATGAAGGGAATCAGGGCCCTTTCCTCCCCCGTAAGCCATGCAACCCACGTTGCTCTCTCCTCTGTTCCTCCCTGCATGCCCTAGGATGAAGAGGGAGCGGGCCTGGGTCTTCCTCTGGACTTCCTCTCCCTTGTTCTACCTCTTCCCTGCTCTGCCCAGCTGGACTTTGCCCTTCCCCCGTTTCCTCCACAGCCAACGGAGCCACGCTCCCACTCCCTGTCAGCTATTCGTCTTTCTCCTTGGATTCAGACTCCGACAGGGCATGACAATCCCTTTTTATGAGACGCAAACTAGCTTGCATGTTCTTTGGGTATTTCTGAGTCATGGTTTGATTTTGGACTGTTTTGGACCGATAGCGTCTCCTTGAATGGGGAGGACACGTTTGCAACCGAATCACCAAGCTCGGAGCTCAAACCCACAATATAAAGATTTCATTGCCTTTTGACTTACGACCACAATTGGGGCCAAAGTCGAAATCCATTATCCTGGGGGGTGGGGAAAATATATCACAAACCAGTCATGGGGTCACAGGACTTTGCCACCGGTCATAAATGTGAGCCTTTTGCCAAAGGGCCAAAAACGTGATCGTGTGACCAGGGGAGGTGACATTTTACGATGGTCAGAAGGGCTTTAGGGCAGGAGGCTCCAACACCTTAGCAACTTTAAACTGGCTGGGGAATTCTGGGAGTTGAAGTTCTCCAGACTTAAAGTTGCCAAGCTTGGAGACCCCTGCTTTACGGGCCACAAGGCAGCCTTTCTGAGATCTACATAACTCCAAAAGGTCATTAAGCAGCCGTTTGTAAGTCGAGGAATACCTGTATTTTTTTCAGGTTGACCACCCTTAGACCTCTGGTTTATACAGGCACTCCTCGACGTCCGACCACAACTGAGCCCAAAATGTGTGGTTTGTTAAGTGAGGCATTTGTTAAATGAGTTTTGCCCCCATTTTATGACCTTTCTTGCCATCGTGGTTAAGCGAATCCCTGCAGTGGTTAGTTAACACGTTTGTTAAGTGAATCTGGCAACCCCGTTTGTTGGGTCACAAAAAGTAATCGCAGGACCCTGGGACTCTGCAAACCGTCGCAAATATGAGTCAGTTTTCAAGCATCTGAATTTTGATATAAATTGTGACCATAGGGTTGTTAACTGTGAAAATGTATCCTAAGTCTGTTTTTTCAATGCCATTGTAAATTCAAACAAACTGTTGTAAGTCGAAGGCTACCTGTACAGGTTTCCACCAGAAGCAAGCTCCTAGTCAGCAGCCTTCTCTAGATATTCTCTTGATCAGTGGTGGCTAACCTTTTTGGGCTCCTGTGCCAAAAATTGTGCATGCTTGCACGCTCGCACTCGTATGCCAGCACCCAGAAGACAATGCGTGCCCCTCATGCCCCGACACATGTGGGTGCAATCCCCACCCACCCACTCACCTACCGCCGCCCCTTTACCTGCACTATGCCTCACAGCTGATTTTTGGCTGATTTGAGGCCTTTTTCGGCCTCATAAAGGCTTGAGGAAGGCTTCTGCAGGTTTCTGCAGGCCGAAAACTAGCCTCGTTTCATCACTTCCCGTTTTTCCGAAAATACCGGAAGTGATGAAACGGGGTTAGTTTTCGGCCTGCAGAAGCCTGCAGAAGCCTTCCTCAAGCCTCTGGGAGGCCGAAAAAGGCCTCAAACCTGCCAAAAATCAGCTGTGAGGCATAGTGCACATGTGCAGTGAGGTAAGTTTGCCTGCACTTGCGTGCCAGCACAAATGCCTCTGCGTGCCACCTGTGGCACATGTGCCATAGGTTCGCCACCACGGCTCTAGATATTCCGAGTTTCATTACAAAAACGGAAAGCTGATCAAAGAAAGAGAAGGATCGATAGATCTCCTCTGGCCACAATGTCCCAAATTGCAAATCAGACTCCCCCCGCCAACCCCAAACTGCCAGGAATTAAACCTGGAACTTTCTGCGGGTAAAGAAGGACTCCCGTCTCTGCTCTACAACGGATCCCTTGATCCTTTTCATCCTTCCTTCAGCCAATCGGGACCCAGACAGGCGTTTTTCCAATGGGTGACCACACCTCTTAGTAACAAGCTCACCTGCGGCCTAACATGACGATCCCACCCGTCTGGGGGTTAATCTTGCAGTAGTCTCCGTGGGCCCAAACACCTGTCCAGGAAAAACCCACAAAGAGGTCATTCAAATCTTCACAAAAAAAAACCATTATTTGTTTTTTAAAGCGCCACCGTGTCGCAATCTTGCAGCCTTTGGAAGAATTGCACAACTCGGGTTGTGCATTGTCTAGTCTAGATTAAAAGAAGGACTGGGGGAGACATGATAGCAGTCTTCCGGTATCTCAGGGGCCGCCCCGAAGATGAGGGAGTGTAGCTATCCTCCAAAGCCCCTGATGGCAGGACAAGAAGCAATGGGTGGAAACTAATCCAGGAGAGAAGCAACCTGGAATTTCCTGGCGGTGAGAAGAATTAATCGGTGGAACAACATCCCTCCAGAGGCCGTGAATGCTTCAACGTTGGACGTTTTTAAGAAGAGATTGGATAACTATTTGTCTGAAATGACATAGGATCTCCTGCTTGAGCAGGGGGCTGGACTAGAAGACCTCCAAGGTCCCTTCCAACTCCTTCCTTCCTTCCTTCCTTCCTTTCCTTCCTTCCTTCCTTCCTTCCTTCCTTCCTTCCTTCCTTCCTTCCTTCCTTTTCTTCCTTCCTTTTCTTTCTTCCTTCCTTCCTTCCTTTTCTTTCTTCCTTCCTTCCTTCCTTCCTTCCTTCCTTCTTCTTTCTTCCTTCCTTCCTTCCTTCCTTTTCTTTCTTCCTTCCTGTCTTAAATGGTATAGGGTTTCCTTCCTAAGCAGGGGCTGGACTAGAAGACCTCCAATGTCCCTTCCAACTCTGTTATTCTATTCTATTCTTATGTCGGAAGAGACTAAAGAAGACGATGCTGACAATGTTGTCAGAAAAATCTGCCCTCCCCAGACACACACACACACACACACGAGACTTCCCCCACCTTTGCCCTTTAGAGGTTTGCGAACGGGGGCGACACCGTCGCAGCTCAGGTTGTGCGTGTCGGAAGAGACTAACGAGGAGAGTTGTGATATCTGACGGGCGGCACCACCGGAGCCTCGGCAGCTGCCGGCCTCTCTTTCTCTCTCTCTTTTTTTTTTTGCATTGCAAACTAAAACCCAGTTGGAAACCAGAAGCCAGGAAAGGTGTTGAAAGAGGGGAAAGAATGACACCCAAAATACTGTCCTCTTTTGCTGGCAGAGCAAAAGGAAATCAGAAAGTCAAATCGAGGCAAGGATCCAGAGGCCGGACCTATTAGATTGGCAAATCCCTAAGCAAATATTGGTCCTCACGGCAATTCTGGGTGCGTGTGTTCAAATATTAGTTTACTGTAAAGGCGCTAGGAAGGCTGGAAAGCGAACACACACATATACACACACACACACACACACACACACACACAGTCCCAGTTTGAAGGTCTTGTCGAGATTCTCCGTCATCCAAGTCATGGTTGTCCTGAAGTTCCTTTTTTTCAGGAGACAACTGGACTTCTTTTTGTCTTCTTTTGAAGATGTTTCGCTTCACATCCAAGAAGCTTCTTCGGCTCTAACAGGATGGTGGAAGAAAATGGAAGGATTTATTTGCTGGTCATTTGCATCCTTTTTAGAGGGTTGTTGAGGCCACTTGGAGGTTTATCTGTGTCCTCTGGGTCACCGGAGTGGTGCTCCTGGTTCCTGTAGTCTGCAATATTTTTGTTGTTGTTGTTTTTCTCTGGAAATCTATTCCTACTAGCGCTAAACCTCTGAGTGGCCTCAACGACCCTTAAAAGGATGCAAATGACTAGCTGTCTGCAAGGAGTATCAATCCTTCCGTTCCTCACCATCCAGTCAGAAGGCTCCACACTCATTTGCACCACTCAGGTGACTCTGAGGACCCAGACACACCTCCAAGTGGCCTCAACGTCTCTCTAGAAGGATGCAAATGACCAGCTGTCTGCAAGGAGCATCAATCCTTCCGTTCCCCACCATCCTGTCAGAGCTGAAGAAGCTTCTTGGAGGAGAAGCGAAACGTCTTTCAAGAAAAACAAGAAAATCCAGGTGCCCCCTGGGGAAAAAAAAAGCACCTCTGGGAGTCTCAGTTTGAAGGGTACAGGTGTCTCACCACATACCTGAAAATCTGGAAAAATACGCCTTTCGGTATTTGTTGCCGTTTTCATCGTTCCAAAAATGTGTGGGTTGGCAAGGCATAGGTTTGGTGCAAACCAGCTCACCGCTTTCTCCCCAAACAGGTTCCCCTGGTTGAAAAAAAAAATACAATCAAATAAAAGGGTTATTGCCCCCTCCTCCTGGTTCAAGTATTGTTTCACTGTTTACACAGTGAAAGCTTAGTGTCAGCTCTGCTGATTGGACACCTGATTCCGTTTCTCGGCTGACAATGGGCAGAGGTTACTTCCTCGACGTGGGTAGTCCTGCCCCTCCTCAATCCAATTTACCAATTTAGGTGACCAATAGAAGGGAATATTTGTAGCTCAGGGTTGAACTGTGGGGTCTTTGGTGCTCTCTGAGTTTGGTGGTTTTCTTGCAGACGTTTCATGACCCAACTACGTAACATCATCAGTGCTAGAAGGAAATAGGGTTTCTGGAATGGAGAAAAGGGAGGAGGAGGAGGAGGAGGAGGAGGAGGAGGAGGAGGAGGAGGAGGAGGACTGTTGGATCCTGAGTTTGGTGTTTTTCTTGCCGATGTTTCATGACCCAAGTACATAACATCATCAGTGCTAGAAAGGTTTGCTCTCTATTTATATATAGACAACTGGCTTGTCCTGTTAGTATTGATGGGGCTGTTGTTTTCTACTTGGTGGTCACTTGATTACGCTTTGGTTGACCGAGTTGGTAGTTGCTTGATTGGCGGTATTGTACTGGGGTATAAAGCAGAGAGCAAATCCCACTCCCTTCTAGCACTGATGATGTCGCCTGCCTGGGTCATGAAACGTCTGCAAGAAAACAGAGGAAGAGAAGAAGTGAAGGCCACCAAACAGGTCCCGCTCCTGCGGACAAACCTTCTCCATCAGGACAGGAGAAAATTCCCACTTTGAGAAACGACCTTCAGATGTTCCAAATAATTTGTTCCACTTTTCACTGCTCCGATTTGGAAGAAACCATCCGAGAGAAGTCCAGGAAGGTGAGTTGGGTCTAACAGACCTACCTTGTTCATTCCATGCTTCTACCGCCATTGCAAGATTCCGTGCCTGGATCTCGCCTTTGTAAACTGGGATGGTCACATTATGACCCATAAAACACGAAATTATATCGGTGCCTCCTAAAATGAGAGGGGTCAGAGAGAGAAAGAGAGAGGGAGAAATAAAGAAAAAGAGAGAGAAAGAGGGAGAGAAAGAGAGGGATGGAGAGAGAAAGAGGGGGAGAGAGAGAGAGAGATAAAGAAAAGAAAGGGGGAAAGGGAGAGAGAGAAAGAGAGAGCAAATTTTGTCAGGACAGTTCACCAAAAGATCAAGATTCCTACGTCCAATAAGCAAATTTTGTGTATAATTAGAAAAAAAATTAGACTGTGAGGACTTTTTTTATCCAATGTATTTTATTAAAATGCTTATGGAGTAAAAAAAATCTATTTTTTAGTTTTCTATTTAAGATACACTCGTAATTTAGTTTATTCAGCATGAAAGGGAGCTTAGTTATGTGAGTGCATGTATTCTGCAATATTTACTTTTAAGGGGGGCGGGCGGGTAAACTCATTCCATGAATCCAAGCTCTGCAAGCTGAGATAACATGCCCTGCATGGACGCCTTCACGCCATTTCACAGTAACGCGAGATGAATCATAAAACACCGCTCAGGAATATTCCTTTATCCCCTTGTTTTGCAAATCTGTGCACGCTGAAGAGAAATGCATCTGTGCCACCAGGCTCTAAGCGTGAGGAGGAGAAGCAAGCAGTAAAAAAACGAAAGGGAGGCCTTCTAAGGAACTTATAAATGTAATATTAAAGGGCACCTGTCATTTCAGATCCATCGTGGCAGCGCCTGTTAGTGGGCATCCACTCACCTGCTGCCTGCCACGTCCCTCACCTTGTGTCCCTGGCGCATCACCAGCCATCCCATTAAAAGCAATGGGACTGTCGGTGAGTCAACAGCGGGTCAGAGGAGGAGCTGCTGCAGGACAGAGATGACAGTGGCTGTCATGACCCTGGCGGAGACGGACTCCGAGGGAGAGGAGAAACAGCCGACAGGGAGGGGACGTGTGGCTCCGGAGGTTGTGGAGGAGGCTGGGGAAGGGCAGAGGCCGGCTGAGCAGTCAGAGGAGGACCCAGGCCCATCCCCTCTCCATCCTAGGGCACGCAGGGAGGAGAGGATAAGGGAGAGACGTGGTCTACTGGGGAGGAGAGGGCCTTGATCCTCTTCATGGGCTGCAGCTGTGACAACTGAATAAGAGGACGGACATGCGTACGGGCCAGTGCTGGAAACAAAGCGTGGAAATATCTCTAGTTTGTGGTTCCTCTCTGAGTTTGGCGTCCTTCCCAGTGTGTGTTCTGTTACCTGTGGACGTCCTCCAGCCCTTATCTTGCCTGGTTGTGTTGCTTTTTTCCTTCTTGTTAACTGTTTGTGTGGGAGTTTTTTTTGTCTTCCGTCAAGGATATTTGGAACTTGGAAGCAACGTGAAGGAATAAAAGGGGCTTCACCTTTTTTCTGTGACTGTGTTTGTTTTGTATACCATCCTGGGTCATCACAGTGGCTCTTTAAAAATTACAATTTAAATCAAGTGGGTTTAAATCAAGCCTTTTGACTCGTGATTTAAATCGTGATTTAAACTGACTTGATTTAAATCAAATCCACCCTGCTTGTACCTGCACAAGTCTCGCACATGGCTTTCTGGTACCTGAAATGGAGCCCAGGAGGACAGTGCTCTTGATGTGCTTGTAGACATACTCATAACTTTGAGGCTTGAGAGGCGACCCGGTGGACAAGATGGTGTGGAGGGTTTGAAGATTGTGGGTTTCACCTTGAGGAGAAAACACCAACGGCGTAAATCCAGGTTCATCCTCCCTCCCCCCATTACAACAGTGTTGTGAGGCTTGGAGAACAGCACACTATCTGTTCTGATCGAGGCTTCCCCCAAAAGCATTAAGCAGACTCTTTCTCCTGGCAAAACCCCTTTTATTAAACGAAGGTGAATTTCTTGCATTCACCTTCAGCCAAAGGCCTGGCAAACAGTCTTTCAAGGGTGCGATTAGGAGCACAGACCTTATCTAGCCTGGAGAGCTGCCAAGTAACTATTTCCAAACCCAGTGCTGACAAGGAAGGACTCGGCACAGAGACGCTGAGATGCACAGGCAGATCTTCACACCGCTGCAATGAACGAACTGTTTCCAGCAAAAGCCCCCTCCCCTTTTGCTCCTCTTTTAATCCCTATGGGAGGGGCCATTCACTGTCTACCTGTGGCCTTACTCCCACGTCGACCCTGAGTTCGTAATGGTTCTTTTCTTTTTGCCAGCTCTGCGCATGCGCAGGCTAGGAACCGGCTCCAGAAGCTCCTCCGCCTCAATGCTGTCCGAGCCCAAGGGCAGCTGATGACTGCCAGCCTGCCCTGGCCCCATCTCTGCCTCTGAAGCAGAGCCCTGCTCCGAGCCTTCCTCAGCCTCCATGTTCCTCCCCAACCTCCTCACTATCTGCTGCCAGCTCCGCTAGTCGTCAGCAAACCACAACACCATAGAACCAGTTGTGGTGGGGCTGATCACAGCTGGGGCTTCCAAGTGTTGAAGTCAACAACTTCTGATGGACTCCCAGATTCAACCAGGCCAAGTAGAATCAACCACCATGGGGAAATTCTAAACTCAGGCCAGTAGACTAAAGGAACACGAGAGGTCTCATGCCCGAAACATTTCAAAAGAAGCTCACATGGTGCCCACTTTACTCAAAATGTCTCACCACCTCTTCAAGGGGTCCACAAATGTTTCAATCCGTGGCTTACAAGATGGTGAGAACGTCGCCATGACATTCCACCATGTCAAGCCCAGCTTCAAGCCATGCCAAAGCCAGAGCTCATGTTTAAGTGCATGTCTCATTATCTTGAGACTTGCGGATTGGTGTTCTATTCATGCAGCTAAGATCTTGGCTTGCGATGAGGTAGCAACTCCTTGGAAATATTATGGGATGGAATGAGAGATGGGCAGGAAGGAACTAGGCTCCAAAATTGAAGGGAAACAAGAAAAGGGTGACCAGGTTCAGTCACTTTGGCCATAACATGGTGGTTATCTGGGTGGTTATGGACCACGTGTGAATTAAGCCAAACCATGGTTGAACAAACCACAGTTTTGTCTGATGCAAAACCCCAACAGGTGTCTTAATACTTACATGGCTTCAGATTCTTCTCTTCAAGCACTGCCAACCACTTGGCACCCGTCCCAAGGATGGTAATCCTGTGGCCAGAGAAAAACAATCCTTGTTTATGGTTGCTAATCTCAGCCATGAGTTTCTTCAAGGAATCTCAGGAAATTAATTTCTACTGCCAAGTGAAGGATTTGCAGAGGGGAACACAAACTTTTTAAAAAAGTTTGAAAAGCTTACACACACACACACACACACACACAGCCTGGTTTTCTCCCATCAAGATGTCCCACCAAGCTCGTCCCAAGATCCCAGTTAACTTTTTCCAAACATCTACAAGCTACACGGAGAAAGAAAACTTCATGTAGTTTCCTATACAAGGGGTAGATCAGGACACGTGACCACCATGTAAAAAAATTTGCAACAAATCAAGGAAGGTTCGCCTCCCTCACAAAGCAAGCCTGATTCTGCTTCTCAAAGCTACTTCTCAAAACTCCAGCTGAGCAAGAGATCTTCTCATTATCTAGGAGGACTTCCTCAATAGGAGGTTAAGGTATTGGGATTTAAGAGCTGACTAGATGTAAAGCTGATGCAATATAAGGCTGATGCAATGAAGATGAATCAACATGGGTATTGCCCTTTTAAGACTAAGAGTGGGTCCACAGATGTATTTACCTCTTTAATAGGTGTCTATATAAAGGCAGCCATTAGAGGGCATTTTCTCTCTCCTTGTGTCTGGTAATCATTGCAAGTTCTCTGTGTAGAGTTAAGATTGATTGCTTGTCAGGTATTTTGCCTACCACAAATATTTCTGTATATGTCTTGTATATAAAACACTGTTAAATGACTAAACCTCTGTGTGCTGTGTATGGCTCCTGGATTTTCTCGTAATAGTAGTCACACTGCAAACACTCTTACAAGTTCCTTGTCATCTTCTGAAGCCTCATCAACTTTGTTTATCAATACCTTGAGAGACCAAACCCTCTGAAAACACACCAGGGTCCACCATAAGACACTTGGCCAAGGTGGGGCTGATGGTTTACGTACCCTAATCGATCCACCAAGTCCCACAAGACATTGGGCGAAGGAACCAGGGGGGAGCCGTCGTACAGGACCACAGAGGCTCCCACCGCGAGAGCAGACACCAGCCAGTTCCACATCATCCAACCGGTCTAGGGTGGAAAGAGGACAATTAACTTACGTAGATCTGTTTGTCAAGAAGGTCACAAAAGGGGATCATGTGACCCTGGGACACCTCAGCTGACATAAGTACATGCCAAGCATCCAAATGTAGATGTCAGCCTTGGATGCCATTTTTTACTTGGAAGCTTCGAGGCTGCCACATTCAGTGCCTGGGAATTGGGGAGGGGGTAGGGGTGGGATCCGACTGGCGTAACAACTGGTTTGGGGGAGCGCGCACATGCATGTCAAACGTGCACCGCACGAACATGCGCACTATCAGCTCCGGCAAGCATTTACCTTCTCCAACTGACAACTGGCACTCGGCTGTGCTGCACAAAGCAGCTGAGGAGGAAAACGCGGGCCGCTAAAGGAATGAATCAGCATGGGTATTGCCCTTTTAAGACTAAGAGTGGGTCCACAGATGTATTTACCTCTTTAACAGGTGTCTATATAAAGGCAGCCATTAGAGGGCATTTTCTCTCTCCTTGTGTCTGGTATTCATTGCAAGTTCTCTGTTTATTTATTTAATTTATAGAGCCTGGGTGGGAGGGCCAAACAGCAGACCAAAACCTCGTCCCACAAACCAGTTCAATGTCTGCTGCTCTTTGGAGCTACTAGTTCTATAGAACCGGACCGAAATGTTAGGATCCCATCCCTGGGGGGAGTGGGGGATTTCACAGAGAGGTAGAAGATTAGACACAACAACGTTCTTTCTCAGAGAGTCAAGGGCATGCTGCCCTGCACCTGAAGGGGGGTGGCTGGAGGGATGTCTCCAGTTGGGATGAGGATTTGATCGGACCATGTGATGGATTGACAGGCGCAGGGGATGGATCTTGGATTTCTCTTTTGGGAAGGGAAAATCCGGAACTCTCCGATTGAGGTTTTCCCAGATGTGCCAATATGACAACTCTAATAAAGTGGAACTTTGAGGAAATGCTTGTCTCGGAGTTCGCTTATTTATTTAATTTATATTGCCGCCTATTCGCCCCTGGCGACTCGAAGCAGCTTACAGAATGTAAAACCATATTCAAAATTTTAAAAAAACAATAATAAAAACGAATCAAATAAATTAATAAAGTACAATAGAACAAAACCTGAAAAAAATACATAAATAAATAAATTATCCCCCAATTCCCACCCCCTGCCCTGACAACAGCATATCACACGAGCCATTTGATGGGCTCCATCCCGCTCTGGGTTCCCCAGGCGGCTTGCTGGCAGAACTTTCTTGGGGTTGGAGCTGGTTAGTTGGAACGCTGACAGTAGATTAGGTCAAAAAAGCTGTTGATTTTTCGTCTGTTTTTAGACCTGCAAAGAAACGTGGGGGTTGTTTTTTTTTTGCACATCTCTGAGACACCCCCACGCAAAGCAAGGTGCCATCAGCCGAGCACAACCTACGGCTCATAGGCTCCGCATGATGTCATTTCTCAAGTCACTTGCAAAGCGGTGCCCCCTCCTCCCCGCTTCCGCCCCCAGGCCCAAGAACCAGCCTTTCCAGAATATTCCAGAAAATATCCTCTGGAAAGCTTCCATGCTATTCTCTATACAGGCAGGTGAGTTCCAGAGGTGGTATTCAGCCGGTTCTGACAGGTTGTGGAGAACCGGTAGTGGAAATGTTGAATAGTTCGGAAAACCAGATGCCACCTCTGACTGGCCCCACCAACCCCATCTATTCTCTGCCTCCCGTTAAATCCCAGCTGATCGGCTGGGTCTCCTTTGGTTGCCCTGCACAGGAGAATGGAACTGGAAAGCAGGTCAATGGGGTGGGGAGGAAGTGGGGATTTTGCAGTAACCTTCTCCTGCCACGCCCACCAAGCCACGCCCACAGAACTGGTAGTAAAACAATTGGAATCCCACCACTGGAAGGAAGACAGGAACGAAAGGAGAAGGAAGAGAGGAACAAAAGGGGAAGAAGGAAAGGAAGGAAGAGAGGAACAAAGGGAAGGAATCAGAGGTTCTGGAGAACCGGAAGCGGAAATTTTGAGTAGTTCAGAGAACCGGCAAATCCCACTTCTGGCTGGCCCCACCCCCATCTATTCTCTGCCTCCTGAGTCCCAGCTGATTGGCTGGGTCTTCTTTGGTTGCCCTGCCCAGGAGAACAGAGCTGGAAAGCAGGTTAGTGGGGTGGGGAGGGAATGGGATTTTGCAGTATCCTTCCTCCTGGCCACGCCCACCAAGCCAGGCCCACAGAACCTGTAGTAAAAAATGTTGAATCCCACCACTGATAAGCTGAGAATTTTAGGTGTTAAAATGTACTTGGAAAACTCAGATCAAGCTTATCAGTGAGGGGAGACAGTCATTACTGGTAGTCCTTGGGTCAACGTTCCAGAAAACCCCAACTCCAATTAAAAACTCAGAGACAAGCATCTTCTCAAAGGTTCCTTTTATTAGAGTAGTAAACTGGCCCTTCTGGGAAATCCCGAATCTGAAAGTTCTGGGTTTCCCCGCAATAAGTAAAAAACTACAAATCCACCCCCTGCACCCATCATCGCATCCCATGTCCCAATCTCCATCTGTCCCAACTTGAGACGTCCTCTCACCCAGGTGCAGAAATGACATGACCTTGACTTCGAAGAAGAATGCTATTAGGTCTAACCACATACGTTCCAAGAAATTCTTCCCCCTCCCATTTTCCCAGGCTCAAGAATGTGGCAGCGTGGAAGCGCCAGGTGCTAATATGGCTTCCAAAGCTGACCTTGACTTACAACCGCCACTGAGCCCCAAATTTTTGTTGCTAAGTGAGACCTTGGTGAAATGAGCTTTCCACAACCTTTCTTGCCACCGTTGTTCAACGAACCACTGCAGTTGTTAGTAACAGAATCATTGAGTGAATCAGGCTTTCCTTGTTGACTTTGCTTGTCAGAAGGTCGCAAAAAGGGGATCACTGCCACTGTCAAAAGTACATGCCAGTTGCCAAGCATTTTGATCACCTGACCGCAGGAAGGCTCCAAGTGTAAAAACAATTCGTACGTCACCTTTTTCATCCTGTTATAACTAATGAACAGCTCTTATGTCGAGAACTCTTGTCCTTTTTTTAAAGTATCCACATGCAGTCTTGAACTTATGACCAGTTCATTTAGTGACCATTTTACATGATGTGTGCAGAAAAAAGGGATTTACAACCGGTCCTCGCCCTTACGACAATTCAAGTGTCCCTGCAGTCACATGACCAAAAAATCCAGGCATTTGGCAACTGTCACATATTTACGACTGTCGCAACATCCAGAAGTCACATGATCACCCTCTGAGCTACCAACAAAGTCAAGGGGATTTGCTTAACAACAGAATGATTCGCTTAATACCACTGTGATTCACTTAATGACTGTGGCAAAAAAAAAATCATACAATTGAGCACGACTCAGTGTCAGACATTCCAGTCCTGTGTTCATAAGTGCTTTATAAAATGCTAGTAAGGCCACACCTGGAATACTGCTAGTTTGGTCACCATACTAAAAAAAGAGGTTAAGACTTTGGAAAAAGTTCAGAGAAGAGCAACGAAGATGATCAGACAGACAGACTGACTCACTACTGGACAGTCACTTGTCTGAGATTGTATAGGCTCTCCTGCTTGAGCAGGGAGCTGGACTAGAAGACCTCTAAGGCCCCTTCCAGCTCTATTCTATTGCATTGTATATTCACTCATAGAATACTCACTTTTAAGACCGTCCACCGATAAACAAACTCTGCCACTTTAAACCAAAAACACTGTGAAGCTTCTGCCACCTGCAGGTAAGCCAATTGGGAAAATAAAACCACAACAACGCGAAAACATTTCCAAGATTGGGCTTATTTATCCGCAGAGGGGCTTATCCGCAAGTATATGCAGTAAATTGATTTTAATCTGCATTTAATCTTGGGCTAATCCAGTCTGGTCTCCTTGGAGGGTGAGGGAGGATTCCCTTGAAGATAGGAACGTGCACAGATAGTGCATCTCAAAAGGATGCCCTGTTTGAAGACTTTCAACAATTTAATATTTGTTTTTACCGAAAGAAAAAGGCAACATAAACAACCATCTGCAGATGAGGCAAAAGAGACAATCAACCAGCCCAAAAAGAGAATAAAAAGACTCCAGCGCTTCTCCGCCAGCAGTCAGCATCCCAGATCAAGCATAGATTAACTCCAAGGTTAACTTCAGACCAACAATCAAGGAAACAATCCTCCTGTCAAAATAGACAACAGCAAACAGCCCAACCAAAGAATCTTTAAGATCACCCACCTTCATGGGGCAAGCCACTAGAACAGGGGCCCCCAAACGTGGCAACTTTAAGACTTGTGGACTTCAACTCCCAGAATTCTTAAAGTTGTCAAGTTTGGAGGCCTCTGCACTAGAATATAAACTGACAGCAAACAGCACTCCTTACTAACACTGATGATGTTACCTAGTTGGGTCATGAAACATCTGCAAGAAAACAAGCAAGCTGAGAGTACCGCGAATCTTATAGTCCTCCTTCTCTTCTTTTCCTTCTCCGCCACTCCACAGACCCCATTCCCTCCTAGCACTGATGATGTTACCTAGTAGAGTAATGAAATGTCTGCAAGAAAAACACCAAGTCCTCTTCCTCTCAACAAAACCCATGCCTTCTAGCACGGATGATGTTACCTAGTAGGGTCATGAAAGGTCTGCAAGACAACAAGCAAGCTCAGAGAGCACCAAGGACCTCCTCATGTCAGCCCCCAAGCTATGAATATTCTCCTTTATTAAAGAAAAGAAAAAATCACTTGCCGTGGTATAGTATATGATGACGTCATTACTGCTCATGTTCCCGTGAAGGATATGTTCTTTCAGGTGCTGAATCAAAGTCCCCTGCAGGGATGACAAATAATAATAATAATAATAATAATAATAATAAGAAGAAGAAGAAGAAGAAGAAGAAGAAGAAGAAGAAGAAGAAGAAGAA